CTGGGCTACATCAGAGCTGTTCTATAATAATAATAATAATAATAATAATAATAATAATAATAATAATAATAAAAATCCTGAGCGGGAGAGTGGACATTGTCAAATGCAGTTCTTCATGGAATGAGATGGCATTTTGTTGCCAGTATTAATATGACTAATTGTATCAGTGACTTTTTTCTGTTGGTGTTTCAGATGGGTTCTTATTCTGTTGTCCATGGCCAATCTCCTGGTTTAGTTCCCAAGTGCTACTGGGATTATAAATGTGCCAGCATCCAAGATGAATATAGATTTATTTTCTCCTCCCACCCCTTTTTAAGGTAGGTTCTATGTAGTCTTTTAATGTCTGGAACTCAATAAGTTGACCAGGCTGGCCTCCAATTACAGAGGTCTGCTTATCTCTGTCGCTGGAATGCTAGGATTAAAGGTGTGCACACCCCACTCCCATTTGGATTGATTTTCAAACATTTGTTGTTCATGAGATAGAACCCAGAGCCTGGAGCATGTCAGGTAAGCTCTCAGTCTCACAGCTACATTTTAGTTTCACTTCATAAGCAGGAAAATTCAAAGGGGTTATCAAGTGCTATCGTTAAAATCTCTAAAGTCTCTTGCCTTCCCATCCTAGTTCAGGAAATATAGGTATTCACCACCAGTCCTTGCTGGCATCCAGTCTGTTCCCCAAGAAAAGGAATCCTGTACTCAAGGTTATTTTTAGCCCTGAAGATAATCTTGGATTTTTTTTTAATGAACACAATTTAAACATACATTTATATGCTCATCATATCTGGTCAGGAAAGTAGGGGTCTGAGACTGACTTAATGAGAAGACAGGGACACCTTGGCAAGAAGAATCCAGGCTTAGGGGCCTGGAGAGATGGCTCAGTGGTTAAAAATATTGGCTGGTCTTCCAGAGGTCCTGAGTTCAATTCCCAGGAAGTACATATTGGTTCACAACCATCAATAATGAGATCTGTTTCCTTCTGGCCTGAAGAGATACAGACAGACAGAATACTGTATACATTATAAATAAATGAGATCTAACCCAGCCTTTATGTTGACAAGTACTCTACTGAATGTGGCACATCCCAGAACTTTGGTTGAGGGGCTGTGTGTGCATTAGTATATATTGCATGTATGTATGTATGTTTGTATGTATGTATAACCGAGCATCATGTGTGTGAGTAGTGCATGAGGATGATGGAAGAGAGGTCAGAACCCCTGGAGTTGTGGGTAGAGTCATCTCTGTGCTGCCATTTGACTGTTGGGAACAGAACCTGGGTGATTTGAAAGAACAGCAAGTGTTCTTGACCCCCTCTCCATCTGTCCAACCCCAAACCAGACTCTTTGTTTTGTTTTTTGTTTTCTTTTTTCCAGACTGGGTATGTATGTGTAACATCCCTGGCTGTCCTGGAGCTTGCTTAGTGGACCAGGCTGCCCTGGAAGTCAAAGACATCTGCCTTCCTCTGCTGCCTCTGCCTCCCAAGTGATTGGATTAAAGGTGTGTTCCACCATGTTCAGTTCCAAAACCAGTCTCTTGATGTATTTATTGGAGGTGAAAAGCAGGAATATTCTGTGTGATCTTGAGCTACAATGCTATTCCAGGTGACTGCTGGAGGAAGGGTTAGGTGGGACAGGAAAACACCCTATGTGAACACCTGTGATTCAGCTGGGCCAGACTCCCGACACAGGGATTCAGGCAGTGACTCAGACACCTCCTTTGATCCCTTTTGGCTTTTTGGTATTTATTACTAGTTTGTTTTAGATATCTCTTTTATTGTATGTGTATGAGTGTATTGCCTGCACATAGTATGTGCACCACATGAGTGCACAGTGCCCTGTGAGTTCCAAAGGTGCCATCAGGCCTCCTAAAACTGGAGCTATGGATGGTTGTGAGCCACCATGTGAGCCGTGGGAACCAATCCTGTGTCCCTGACAAGAGCAACAAGTGCTCTTAACTGCTGAGCCATCTTTCCAGTCTCCAAGTTAGTCAGATGTTTTTGGATGTCAGTCCACAGCCACAATATCACTTCAGCAGAACATTAGCCTCTACCCACAACATCCTCTGAACTTATTATTTTGAACTAAGTAGATACGGATGAGGATATGTGACTAAAAGTGCAGCAGCCTGAGGCAGCCAAAGGCCTTAGATTCCCTTGGAATTGGTGTTACAGGAGTGTTATAGATGTCTAACATGGGTGCTGGGAGCAAAACTCAGGTTCTCCTCAAGAGCAGTGCACCCTCTGAACTGATGGGACATTTCTCCAGCCCCTGCATCTATCTATTTTGTGTGTATATGTACACCACAACATTCCAGCTTGGCCTGCATGAGGAGGTCAGAGGAGAAGTTTGGGAGTCAGCCCTCCCTTTCTACTCTGTGGGTCCCCAGGAATAAACTTAGGGTTCCAAGATTGCAGCCAGGTCACTTTAGCTTTGTGGCAAGCTCTGCCACAAAAATGGTTCATAACACAGCAATAAGAGGTTAAATGATTCAAAAATTCCCCGTTGTTATCTGCTTATCCAGGGAAGTAAGGAACTAGGACTAGGTTTACAGACTCATTATCACACTAAGGACAGCTCACATTATTGGTGGTTCTTTTGTTTTGTTTGTTTGTTGTTGTTGTTTGACACAGAGTTTCTCTGGCTTTTGGAGGCTGTCCTAGAACTTGCTCTTATATACCAGGCTGAACTCAAACTCACTGGGAACTCCTGTCTCTGCCTCCTGAGTGCTGGGATGAAAGGCATGCACTACCACCCTCTGGCTGTATTATTGTTGTTAAGGGCTTTCAATTCTTTTAGAACAGGACAGAGACTTTTGCCCCTCTCTTGGAGGCTGTTGTGTGCAGATTGCGGAGCAGAATTTGGAAGTCAGAAGAACAGGGCACACAGAGTGGTGTAACTCACCAGTCTCACCACCCAGGAAATGGAGGAAGGAAGGTCTGGAGTTCAAATCCAATCTTGGCTGTGTGTTCAAAAAGACGGGCAGGGAGGGAGAGAAAAGTGGAGGAGCAGTGTGCTGTAGACCCTGCTCCCTTTGCTCTTCTCTCATTATTTTGCTTCTGCCATCTCTGATGTGCCCACAGTGCCTCCTGCTGTGAGAGTCTGCATCGCAGTCATCTGGCACTCTGGAAACCTTCCTAAGGTAGCAAGTCTGCATTGCTCAGCTGAGATTGACAACTTCAGGCAACCAGCAGCACATGATCAGATGTAAGAGAAGGCCAGCAGGAAGGGAGAAGGAAGGCATTGTCAGAATGGCTTCTCTTTACTTTGATTTCATAGCCAGATATTGGGGTAGGACGATTACTGAGAATTCCAAATCTGTTTGGGCTACACAATAAGTTCCAGGTAGGCATTGGCTATACTGCAATCCCCTCTGAAAAGAAAATCCACAATCATCAAATAAACAAATCTTAGAACCCAGAGTTTGTGGAGAGGTATCACAGAGGATCCCCTGACCTTGATGAAGGCCTGGGATCTTTCTCTTTGCAGCACTGAGACAGGAGTCAATCAGTATTGTGATGCAGTATTCTGAATAGGATTAACAGGATGGAGAGTTAATCCTCCAAACAGATTGCAGTTTGTGGTTGGAGTTTGGACTACAAGGGGGAGGTGAGAGTGGGAAGTTGTATATAAGGGTCAGAGGACCAGAGAAGAAACTCAGAGCCCTGGAGCCTGAGTCATTCTCTGGCTTTGCTGGGAATAGGAGAGCTACCATTGCTGCCTGCCTCAGGTGAGTAATCCTCCTCCATCAAGACACTGCATATACCCCCTACCTCCACTACTTCCATCCCCTGTCCATGGGGGACTTGAGGCACAAGATGATAAATGGGTTCTCATTTGAGTGGCTTCAGAGGTGGAGCTTCAGGGCAATGACTTAGACCCCTTCATTGGTTTGGGGCTGTCCTCATCTCAAACATGTAATGTTGTCTGTTAGTATGTTGTTTGTGTGTTCTGCAGCAGGCCTGCCCTGATGCCAGGCTGGCCATATCCAGATGGACTGATTGGAGTGCAAAATTCTTCTCTCCCAGAACCTGAGTTGTGGGGTCATCAGCATGGACCATCATGGAAACTTCAGACCAATTTATATTTATGTTTTGTTGTTGTTGTCTCTCCCGAGACAAGGTTTCTCTGAAGTCTTGGCTGTCCTGGAACTAGCTCTGTAGACCCAGCTGGCCTTGAACTCATTGACAATAGTATGCCTAGGGCTCTGGACTTAAAGGTGTGTACCACCACCACCACCACCACCACCACCACCCAGTTTGTGATAACTTTGACATGCTGTTGTTTACATTTGCTTGACAATTCTTATTCAGGGGCAAGGGTCCTGTAGAGCAGGATAGTTGGGAACTCTCCAAGTGGTCTGTGAGGCCCACCCTCTTCCCAGAAGTTCTGCTTGAGATTGCATGGCTCTATCACTTCTGGGAATTTGGGTTCTTTACACACAGACTTTGAAACACTGACAGCAGCCAGGGCAGTGTAAATTGACAGTTCATTTCCTCAGATGCTTAAATGCTGTCTATGGCCCAGCTTACAGAGTCCAGGGTACCCCTTCCCAGTGGGACTGGGGTTGAGAGCCACAGGGGCTGTAAATACATATGACAGGGCGAGTACGTGATCACATGTGCCTGTAAGGACTTCACATTCTGCTTGGTGGTTGTTATGGTTTGATACCAACAGATAGTGAGTGGCATGATGGAAACTAAGGATGAGGTATTGTCATAGGTATGACTATGCCCTTCGGAGAGTCTTTGGATGGGAGAGAATAAAGGCTTTCTATATGTTGGCCTGAAAACGTGTTCTTTTGGGCTGGGCAGTGATGATGCACATCTCTGATCCCAGCAGAGGGAAGTGTATCTCTGAGTTCAAGGCTAGTCTGGGCTACCGAGCTAGTTTCAGGACAGCTAGGGCTGTGACACACAGAAACCCTGACTTGAAAAACAAAAAGAAAATAAACTGTGTTCTTTCCAGAAGCCTCCCCAGGACTCTGGACCCCGAGGATCTACAGGAATGAGTGACCCTGCCCAGCCCACACTCCTGCAGGAGGCAGTGCAGAGGCTGCTGAAGAATGAGGCCTTGGCCATCTGTGCTCTAGATGACCTGCCTGTGGAGTTCTTCCCACCACTGTTCAAGGAGGCCGTCACTGGCAGACAGACTAACATGGTGAGGGCGATGGTGGCAGCCTGGCCATTTCACTGCCTCTCCATGGGGACTCTGATGGATACCTCACACATGGAGACTTTGAAGGCTGTGCTCCAGGCCCTGGATTTTCTGGTTACACACAAGGTTCGCCCCAGGTATGTAAGACCCCTCTAATAGTCCTGCAGGTTCAGGCAGGGGACAACAAGAGTGAGGGAAGAGTGGGCTCTAATGTGGATCTGAGGTTTCTCAGTGTGGCGGTTTGGAGGACTGCACAGGCCTCATCTTGCAGAAGGTACAAGAGTGTCAGGTGTGGAGGGCAGCTTAGTTCTGACACAGCCACAGAAAAGTGAGGCTGTCCTGTGTCTCTAGGCACAGTGCCAACAGGCAGGACTCCAGGTAAACACAGGGCAGTAAACAGAACTTCAGATGTCAGCGGGGCGAGGAGACCTTCCAGTAGCGGGAGGGCATGTGTTCGATGGACAGCTCTGAGAACTTAGAGCTGTCCATAGAGGACCGTGGAGAACAGAAAGAGAGAGGAGAGATGTGGAAGCAGACTGTTTGGTGTCTGACCTAGCTCTCAACATTTCTGCCTGCTTTTCCCAGCAGGTGGAAACTCCAAGTGCTTGATTTGCAGAGAGTGCACCAGGACTCCTGGGATGGACAGGCTAGAGCCATAGATGTCAGCTTCACCCCACAGGCCCCGAGTCAAGAGGAAACTAGGGAACAGGATCCAAAGTGTGTGGTGAAGTGGCCCTTGAGGGTGTTAGTGGACTTTGACCTCTGTGGGGAGTGCCTCAAGGAAGCTGACAAATGCCTGTTAAAGTGGGCCAGGCTGAGAAAAGGCTCAGTGCAGCTGTGTTGTAGGGAGCTGAAGATCACAGCATCACATGTCTACACTGTCAGAGAGGTCCTCAAAATTTTAGGCAGAGACTGTGTCCAGGAATTGGAACTGAATTCCTGGTGGCAACAGGGAAGCCCTGACTGGTTTGCACATTACCTGGAGCAGCTGGGAAATCTTTGCACTCTCCCTCTGCTGGGAATCTTCAAGAAGGTCTTCAGTGGGGACTTTGCTCCACCAGACATGAAGAAGTGTGTCACCAAGACCATTCCTCAGTTCCCCCATCTCCATCTCAATTGTGTCCAGAATCTCTATATGAATGACATCTACTCTCTAAAAGGCAACTTGAAAACATTGCTAAGGTAAGATGGGGAGCAGCTGTCCAGACCATAGCAAAACCTTTCTCTGTGTTCTGCAGATAGGGGGCCCTCCATACCAGGCACAAGGGACCCAACAGGGCTGGAGACTCCCTGTGAAGGGGTGGCAGCCTGATTCTGTCTCTGTGTGGGAAAGGCTGTGTGTGGTGTGTATGTGGGGGTGGGGGGTCAAGCTTGGTAGGGGCTGAGTAGCTGGGGAGTACCTTGCACTGGCTTGTATGTCAGAGGCTAGTGTGAAGCAGTGTGAACAGGCATCAAATGTACTGCTGATGTAGCTGTGCAGACTTCTGCAGAGACATGCCAAGGATGTAACCAGGTCTTGATTAGTTTGCATGTGATCTGTAGCCCTGAGCTGACCTGTACTGGGAGGGGCAGTGCGCATGTCCTGAAGCAGTCCCACTGTGATGATAGTGCCCTTGGTGTAAAACACTGTGACTTGGGTGAGATAACATTGGCAGCATCCTAATGTGCATGTCTATCATGGGGTGAGACTGAGCTTGAACAAGGCTAACCTGTCCATCACAGTGTCAACCCCTTCACCAACGCTTTCCAACCCCATTTCCCAGAACTCACCTCTAGTCTCTCTCCCTAGGTACCTAGAGACTCCCTTGGAGACCCTGTCCATCACTCATTCCCAGCTCTCCAACACAGACTTGGACCATCTACCCTTGAGTGTAAACCTACATCAGCTCATACACCTGAATCTCAGTGGTGTGGTGTTGTCCCATTTAAGTACTGGGCCCCTCCATGTTCTCCTGGAGCAAGTTGCATCCACTCTGAAGACCCTGGAATTGGAGGGCTGTAGGATGAAGATCTCCCAGCTCAGTGCCCTCCTGCCTGCCTTAAGCCAGTGTACACAGCTCACTAAGATCAACTTCTATGACAATGTCATCTCCATGGCTGTCCTTCAAGACCTGTTTCACCACACAGCAAATCTGAGTCAGCTGACCCTGGAGCTGTACCCTGCCCCTTGGGAGTGCTATGATGGCATGGGTCATGTCCTTGAAGACAGATTTGCCCGACTTTGTCCTGAGCTCATGGATATTCTCAGAACTATAAGGCTGCCCAAATCGGTGTGCTTTGCTGCAGGTGCCTGTTTTGTTTGTTATGACTAGAGACCAGACCTATCTTGCTGGGTAGGTGGAGCAGCATTACTTCTGGGTACTGGCATGTGATGCCCAAAGGAGGGGTGTCTCATCAAACAGCCACAGAAAGCTGTGGGAGAGAGGGGATTAGGGATATGAAATCGAAGTTCAATTGAAAGTTTACATGGAGAACAAGGAGAACATGAGGACAAGTGACTTAAGAGTCAATTAAAATTTGATATTTCTGAAAGAAGCTTCTAGCAGTCCATTTTAATGAATTGGTTGCCCCTGAGTGGTGCTTTTGATGTAATTGTCAGACCCTGGGGAACTGGATGCTCACCATCTGAGGTACTTCTTGGCCACTATTCTTGTCACGGTTTTTAAGGCCTGAAGATCCCTTATCTAGGAAAGGAATGGCACTGAACTTGCTGAGAGTGAGCTCCAAAATCTCATGGCTTCAAAATAAATTACATTGAAGCCAACAATGGTAAGTGATTGAGCCCTTTTACACAGTCTGAACACATTGCAACAAAGCTAAAAACTGACATGAAAACTCCAGTGATGTCTAACTGATGAATATTAGAAGAACTTGTTACTGAAGAAATGGGTCAAAGAAAAAAATGAAAGAGGAAGGAAGGAAAGAATGAAGACTGGAAGGAAAGAAGAAAAGGGAGGGAAGGAAGGTAGGGAGGGATGGAGGGAAGGAGGAATGGAAGGAGGGAAAAAATAATGAAAAAAATTAGAACTACATCACAAATTCGGGGACACATTGAAATCAATCCTTGAGGGAAATTTAAAACTCTAAGTGACGAGAATAAAACCTTGAAAAGCACAAATAGTTTTATGATTTCACTAAAATATTTGGAAACAAACACAAACCAAATCCAAACCCAATCGGTAGCAAGAGATAAGAAAAATGAAACATTCCTGGTGATGCGTACCTTCAATCCCAGCAGGGAGGAAGCAGGAGCTTGACTTTTGAGATATAGGTCACTCTGATCTACAGAATGAGTTCCAGGATAGTCTGAATATAGAGACAACCTCCTTTGAAAAACAAAAACAATACCTACCACAAACTTTCATTAAATACAAACAATAGAAAGAACCAACAAACTTAAGAGGTGATTTTGGGGAAGTTAAACAAGACTGACAGATCTTTGGCCCAACAAACCTAAAGAATGCAAAAGGGGACTCAACTGCATCGGAGTTGAAGAGGGACACATTACAACAGTTACCAAAGGGATCCAGAATATTTTAATATTATATCATAAGTATATATCATTACCTTAAAAACTTGTGCTCCATGAAGTATAGTACAATAAGTAAAAGAACCAGAGACAGATTTTGGGTTTTGACCTTCTAGCTGATACCAGAGAAGCTAAGCAGCTATCCCCTTACTCATTACCTCTAGAGAGCTGACATGGCAATCCTGTCTCCACAAACCCTTAAAAGTGAACAGCTCTGAATTCTTATCTGCTCCTCACATTCTTTCTCTGCCCAGCCATGTCCTCCTGTCTCTACTTCCCTTGTGCTGGGATTAAAGGCCTGTGATTCCAAGTGCTGAGATCACTTTTATGTGAAAGTTGCTTTTGGTAGTAGTCAGTGTATCCTTGAACTAACAGAGATCTACTTCTTAATCCCAAATCCTGTGATAAAAGGCCCGTGATCCCAAGTGCTGAGAACATCTTTGTATGTTTGTATGAGCTGTTTCTTTTAGGACTGCATCAATTTCATGTAGTCGATGTATCCTTGAATTAACAGAGATCATTCTACCTCTTAATCCTGAGTTGACATGGGATAGGAGGTATGTATCACCACAGACCTACCTCTATAGCTGGAGGCTTGCTTTGCTTTCTGAATCCTCAGATAATACTTAATGAATTATAAATCCTATATCACCACAATTCCCCTTTTTTTGTCTAATACAAAAAAGCTACAACTAACATAAGACAAATGATATACATTTAGTACAATAAGTATATATAACATATACAGGCAGAAATTTCATCAACAATGTCTAGTTCATTTGCATTTGACAAATTCAAAGAGGATAGTTCATTATCTATTTTAAGTAAAAATTATTGTACCTAACTTACTTTCTATTCTAATTTACATTATCAAAATATCTTTTAATGTCTCTCAAACTTTTAGACTTTATATAACTTTAGTGAGTTGCTTTTCTGAGTCTTGTAAACAATGGAAACTATAACTGTTTATCTTGTCTTTAGTTCCCTAAGAGACCCAAGAAGGAAGTACTGTTATCTGAGTAAGCAGGAAGTATGAGAAAGCAATTAACAAAACAGCTGGATAACAGGATAGTCACCTAAGGTTCTCCTGCAATGTTGGGGCATCCATCTTTGGCATATAGGCCTAGCATCTCTGACAGACTTTTCTGTGAAGCAGGATATTAAAGGACTGTCCTGCCTTGTGTTGACAAGGTTTGCAGTCATTCATTTTGTTATTGTGCTTCATGTTCTTAATTTACAGCCTGCTGTTTTGTGTAGATAGTGTGGAGGGAGAGGGTGACAGCATTGTATGTGATTCTGAAAAGAAAATTCTGGGTTAACTGTCAAGATGTAACACTTTTGTTCAGTCTCTGAAATATGGAAAAGTGTATGGCTTGTCTCAATTCTCAGCTAGAGTAGTTTGTGAGGCTGGATCTTCTCAGTGAGCCACCTCAAAATTGTTCTGAGAAGTGTCTGTGTGGCTGAACATCAGTCATGACCTCCTAAAAATTGTTCTGAGTAATATCTGTGAGATTGGATCACCTCTGGTCACCTGGAAATTGTTCTGAGCAGTTTGTACTCTAAAGTTTATCTTTATTTGGGCTGTGTGTATCTTCCTGATTGTATTCAATCTTCTTTTGAAGACTACAGGGATTGCATTAAGTTAGATTACTTTTTGGATTGTTCTCACTTCTTTGGATGTTTATTTGTTCAAAGATCTTAAATTCCTCAAAATGGTTGTTTTTATTTTCCTGAGAAGACAAAAACAAAGCCACTTCCCAATCCTAACTTTGGGGAGGTTCCAAATCTAATCCTTATCAGTTTTGATTTATGGTTTCTTCTGAAATTTTTGTTTTACCTTATAATGTTCTTTTATCATCCAGACCAGTATGTTTTCATACAATAGACATTATATTATTAATTGCTTTAGGAAGGTGTTTCCTCCAAGATGGCAGAAAGAACTAAATGAAATTTGGCATAGGGGCTTTCCAGAGATCCTTCAAAGTCAAGATATTACCTTCATAATATCTTGTTAACCTACATTCCTTACTACAATGCCTACCTTAACCACTACTTCTGCATAAAACAAAAGGGAGGGGTATTTTTTTAATTATATTTGTAAAAAGAATAATTTCTAGAAATGCCCTATTTACAATCCCATTTCCAGTGATCTTGTCTACCAGAATTAAAAATTTGACATTTCTATTTTTCTTTAAACCTCTGGAAATCACCTCTCTTGTCCAGTACCATCATGGTTGTAAGCTTCAATATTAAATTGTATCCAGGGTCCAGTCCTCCAAAGGTGCTGATCTTGCTCTTAAAGGCCTAATTATCCTTTTGCTTTGGGCATTAGCATTTTCAAAAGCCATTGTTTCAATTATTATTTTTCTAGCTTCTGAATCTGATACCATTCTAATTACTGCTGATGACAGTCTTTGTATAAAACCTGTGAATTCATCCAGGTGGTGGTGGCATATGCCTTTAATACCAGCACTCTGGAGGCAGAGGCAGGAGGATGTCTGGTCTATAAGAGCTAGTTCCAGGACAGGCTCCAAAGCCTCAGAGAAACCCTGTCTCAAAAAACAAACAAACAAACAAAAACAAACACACACACACATACAAACCCTGTGAATTATTCCTTTGGACCCTGTTTAACTTCTGTAAATGACTCAATTTTGCTTCCTGATTCTCCAATTCTGTCCTAAGCATTTCAAAACTGCAGATTGGCATAAAACTAAGAGGTGTTCATCATATAGACATTACCTTTCTAAAGTAGCATAATCTCCATCTCCAAGAATTGGATCTTGGAAGATATCCATAAACCTTGCTTTAGCCTTACGTTTAATATGCTTTCTTTAAAAATTAGTATTTAGTGAATACCCTTATCATTTATATGCATGTTAACAGATGTTAACTTTCTGATTTTGAATTATCAAGGAAAAATGTTGTTGTATAATTATTTTAAAATTTTATTTATTTATTATATATACAGTGTTCTGCCTGCATGTATACCTACATACAGATGGTTGTGAGCAACCATGTGGTTGCTAGAAATTGAACCAGGGACTTCAGAAAGAACAGCCAGTTCTTAGTGACTGAGCCATCTCTTCAGCCCCTGTTCAATATTCATAGCCTCTTTTCTGAAGCAGGAAACAATTGTAATTGTGGTCCAGGCTATAGACAGCTTTAATCAAATCTATGCCATCTATAGTGATAATCCTATTACAAACTGACCAACTATTAATCATCTGCTTCACAAATGCTGAGTGGGTGCCATTTGAGATTACAGATTCCTGAAATTTCCAGGAATCTAACATTGGCACAGGCTTCTAAATAGTTCTTATAGGAACTCTTACATTTTGAATTTTCTATAAAGTTACTGGATATATTAAAAGTGGTTGTCTTAGGACCTTAGAGCATCCCCTTTTAAATATAAAATATAAAGCTGAATTTGCTTCTCCATGTAATTCTACAGTCTGGGTTTGATTGTCTCTATACTCTGTTTCAACAAGTTTTTCTAAGTCCTGCATCTTTGTACTTATATTAACCGCCTCCCTCCTCTTTTTGAGAAAAAACAGGAACTATCAATCACATTTTCAAAAAGATGATAGCAGTACATCAATCCTGGTTAAGTTGCTTATTTCTTACTTTGATAGTTCTATTTTTAAATCATCCTTTATATAATCATACCAAGACCTAATTCTCTCCATTTTAATAGTGTTTTCCATTTTTCCATGTGGGGGAAAAAAACCCTCTTTTGGAACTAATCCCTTCCTTTAGAATTTCCAATTAACTTATCAAATC